GGCAAGGAGAGCAAAGCGAGCACCAGTTAAGAATTTACAGAAAGTGCGAAAGGCACCTAACAGGTTACAAAAGAATCTAGAGACTCTAGAAAAAGTTCAAAAAAGAAAAAGTAGAAGATTTCAAGCGCTGTGCAGCAGATGCAAAGAAGGCTTAATGGCAACATGTTATGTGCGAAATTGGAGGAGATAGCTCACTGGGTAGGTTTTGGAGACTTCACAGACAGATACAAAGGAAGGATCGGCCTGTTACAATAGGCATTATATACACTGATAATGATATACCGATGACAATAGACATCGAGGAGGTAGAAGATAGGAGAAAAAAAAAAGAAGAAGAAGAAGATGACAACAGACAAAGAGAAAGTGGAAGCTTTTTTTTTAAAGAGACATTTATAGCCCAAACAAATCATAATAATGGGGAGCTTAGAAATGTAGTTAGAAATAATCTGTTTAATACAATAAATGATAAGAATTTTGAAGATATTATTAGAGTGGAGGATATAAAACACGTATTGCGAAAAAAAAAAAAAAAAAGGACACTGTGCCTGGGCCAGACGGAGTCATGTTTGCCCATTTGAAGAGCATGAGTAGTGAGGTAAAAGTAAAAGTAAAGATCCCTTTTCACACCTTTCGGCGCATCGGGCATATGGGCAGAGCGTCCCATATTTTTACAGACCATCAGCACTCTGTGGGTAATGTAGTCAGCATTACGCCGGCTGTCTTTACTTTCCCAGGACAGCCTGGTACCCATTTTAGGATGGGTCTACCTGCGACGTCCCATATCACGACAAAAATCCACGCAGCCTGCAGTGGGTTTCGATCACGGTATGCTGGCTTACGAGTCAGACTCGCAACGACTTAGCCACGGATGCCGCTATGAGTGATGAGGACTTGATGAAAATGGCTTTTAACTTCGACCAGAGCATCAGAACAGCTTCAATACCCCAGGAATGGGTACACAGTTTCCTTATTCCCCCAGGACTGACAAAGATCATTCCAGACTCAGCGGTTTCAGTATTATCACCCTACAAAAGTACTTTTGGCAAGGTACACAGAGAAGTATTATTGCTGTAAACTACAAAAGCTGTTGTAAACAGGAAGAGCCCCTGCCAAAAGGTTAGGGTAGTACACGGCCTCAGTAAAGATACTGGGTCCAATGCAGCTACTTTTACTTTTGATATTTTTGAGGGGTTCCAGAACCCAGACAGGAGTACGGTTGTGGCAGCACTTGACCCCCTGAGGATGCAGGAATGGGTACACTACAATAGAGTCAGATATGATATTTTGATTTCTGCACTCATGGAGAATGGGTTGTCCAGCTTCAGTGAACTGGATAGCAGCTGTCCTGCACCCCACGTATGGTACCATTCGCCTTGGACATGGACCTCAGAACAATGTAATATCGCCCCAGGACTGGGTACACAGGTTTCTGCAATTTCACCAGTGCTCTTCAATGTGTATACAAGCAAGATTGCAGAACTTAATTCACCAGGTGTTGGAAGAATATTGACATTTGCCGATGATGTTCTTGCATATAGGCAGGAGAGAGATAGGCGACGTATAGCTCACGAGCTACAAGCAACTTTGGACAAAGTGACTGACTGGTGTACCGAAAATGGTGCTCTCATCAACTCAGAGAAGGCAGCTGTTTTGTGGTGTTCTCTGGACTATAGAATTGTAAAAGCTGGCGTTCCAAACCTCATAGTTCCTAACAATAACATCAAACTAGAAAGCAAACTGAGATACCTGGGTATCATTTTTGATAGAAGCCTGTCCTATAGGGAACATGTTGAGGCAGTTGCAGTGAAATGCCAAAAAGGGCTCAGTGCTCTCAAGATTATGGCAACAATGGACATGGAACAAAGAACGTTGTTCACAATGTTCCAGCATGTGATCCTGTCGGTGATAGATTATGGACTTGGCATGCTTACAATATCAAAGAGTCAGCTGATGAAACTTGAACGCTGACAGAATGAAGCCATGCGGGTGATTCTGGGATGTACAAGAGATACCCCGGTAGTATGTATGCGATATATACTTGCACTGCCTACTATTGCAGATAAGCTACAAGTTCTGCAGGCAAAGTCATATCTCAGAGTAGTTGCGGACAAGAGGCACCTCCTGCATGAAGTTCCGGATAGAGCTAAGAGTCACAGATTAAAAAGGGAAAAGTCTTGGATGGCGCAAGCTGAAGAGACAATTCGACATGTGTGCAGGCATGATAAATTTAGGCGAGGAGAGGAGTGGGTTAAAGTGTCCGATCATATTTCAGACTTGTGTAGGGTTCTAATCACTTTGGGACGTGAGTGCAGGGACTGGCCAGCTGGTGCTGCAGAATCAGAAGTTTAACAAATGATTCATGACAATTCCCGCCCAAGTGATGTGATTGAATATACATATGGCTCTATGGTGAGAGGCTAACGAAGTGCATGGTGGGTTCATAGGGAAGGCGAATGGACGTCGTTTGGCGAAACGAAGCGTTGCATTTGATATCAAAACGTCTAGTTTGAGAATAGAGGCGGAGGCAGTCACTGCTGCCTTCCATTGGCCTGAGAATCAGCTGTACACACATGTTGTCATTGTAACTAACTCACAGAGCATGCTGAGAAAGGCGGAGACAGGCATGCGCCGTGCAGAGTAACAAGCATCAATTGGGAGGTCCCAGGTAGTTAGCATCCGTTGAATATTTTCTCCAAGTCATGCCTGTATGTTGGGAAATGAGCAGGCGGATAGACTGACCGGTTCTGCACCACTTAGTGGTGAACTGATATATGACAAGCTGGATGTTGTGAGGGCCCTTTGGGGCGAGTGAACAGTGCCGAGGAACAGATAGATCATTACGGTCTGAGGAGAATGGTACGGCGAGGAGTTACAAGGGGATCTGGCCGACGCTCGAAACTCGGGGGAGGGACGAGACGGATATACAATCAGACTGTTACTGGTACCATCGGAATTATAACTCTGCGCTTGCTGCTGAAGAAGGGGAAGGAGCGCTTATGGGAGTGTCCCAAGTGCTGTGATGTCGATTCTTAATTCAAAACAGCGCTAAAGCAGTCTTTCAATCTGGAGTGGAGAAGACAGAATGGAGATACAGACCAGAGAGTGACAGCATAAACAAACTTGACAGGAAAGAACAAACATCAATATTTAGACTTCGAACTGGACACTGTGGTCTTCGAGCACACCTGTACAGGATGGGCTTACAAGAATCTGCTGTATGTGATTGTGGAGCAGAAAGACGGACCTCTAGGCACATACTGCAGTACTGCCCTTACCTCTCCCAGCAAAGACTGTGGATCTGGCCCAAGGGCGCCACATTGCAAGAGAAGCTATAGGGGACCGGTGGCGACCTTAAACGCACAATCCTATTTGTGACCCAGGCGGGACTCAATGTTTAGTATGACTGATGTCGAACGCAGAAGAAGAAGAAATTCACAGCTGTTTGCATCTTTGACACAACACCTTTACGGCTTTTACAATTCTGCAAACTTCACAAAACGAAACCAGTATTGAACGCCCATTGTTACATCAATTTTCAACAATGAACAAATCAAGCAAAAGTGAGTAAGCAATTGTTGGTCCTTAGATCTGCAATGAGTTTATCTTGTTTTTTGCTTGATAGTGCTTGGAGAACAGACAATGAGTCACTAAGTATAACTATTTTGTGCCCTCTGTGTTCTTGAGGGATGAGATGTTGGACTGCAAAGAGGAGGGCAGTTGCCTCAGCTCTGAAGTTAGTGCAGATGTCACCTGCTGGTAGAGACAGAGTTTCTGCTCTACTGCTAGGGGGTTTAATGAATATTCCACAATATGTGGATGTGATTGAATATACATATGGCTCAGTGGTGAGAGGCTAACGAAGTGCATGGGGGGTTCATAGCGAAGGCGAATGGACGTCGTTTGGCGAAACAAAGCCTTGCATTTGATATCACAACGTCTAGTTTGAGAATAGAGGTGGAGGCAGTCACTGCTGCCTTCCGTTGGCCTGAGAATCAGCTGTACACACATGTTGTAATTGTAACTAACTCACAGAGCATGCTGAGAAAGGCGGAGACAGGCATGCTCCGTGCAGAGTGGCAAGCTTCACTTCAGAGGTCCCGGGTAGTTAGCATCCTTTGAATATTTTTTCCAGGTCATCACAGTATGTTGGGAAATGAGCAGGCGGATAGACTGGCCGGTTCTGCACCACTTAGTGGTAAACTGATATATGACAAGCTGGATCTTGTGAGGGCCCTTTGGGGCGAGTGAACAATGTCGAGGAACAGATAGATCATTACGGTCTGAGGAGAATGGTACGGCGAGGAGTTACAAGGGGATCTGGCCGACGCTCGAAACTCGGGGGAGGGACGAGACGGATATACAATCAGACTGTTACTGGTACCATCTGAATTATAACTCTGCGCTTGCTGCTGAAGAAGAGGAAGGAGCGCTTATGGGAGTGTCCCAAGTGCTGTGATGTCGATTCTTAATTCAAAACAGCGCTAAAGCAGTCTTTCAAGCTGGAGTGGAGAAGACAGAATGGAGATACAGACCAGAGAGTGACAGCATAAACAAACTTGACAGGAAAGAACAAACATTAATATTTAGACTTCGGACTGGACACTGTGGTCTTCGAGCACACCTGTACAGAATAGGCTTACAAGAATCTGCTGTATGTGATTGTGGAGCAGAAAGACAAACCCCTGAACACATACTGCAGTACTGTCCTTACCTCTCCCAGCAAAGACTGTGGATCTGGCCCAAGGGAGCCACATTGCAAGAGAAGCTATGGGGAACCGGTGGCGACCCTAAACGCACAATCCTAAGTGACCCAGGCGGGACTCAATGTTTAGCATGACTGATGTCGAACGCTGAAGAAGAAAAAAAGGATTTCTAATTCAACATTCTCCATTCACAGCTGTTTGCATCTTTAAAACAACACCTTTACGGCTTTTACAATTCTGCAAACTTCACAAAACGAAACCAGTATGGAACGCCTAGTGTAACATCAATTGTCAACAATGAGCAAAAGAGAGTAAGCAAATGTTGGTCCTTAGATCTGTAATTAGTTTGTCTTGTTTTTTGCCTGATAGTGCTTGGAAAACAGACAATGAGTCACTTCTTCTTCTTCTTCACTTCCTCTTTTACCGCTGTGGGTGTCGAGGGAGATATAAGGTTCTGTTTCTAGCTCTTCTGGCTGCCTCGACCATAGGCACATCGTGCTGTTGTAGAGTTTCTCTGATGTTATCCTTCCATCTTGTTCTTGGTCTACCCCGTGCTTTACGTCCTTCTTCTCTTTCCATGAATGCTTTGTATGGTATGGTGTCACAAGGCATTCTCTCTAAGTGGGCAACCATTTCACTTGCTGTCTTTGTATGTAATCCAGAATTGGTTCTGTGCCGACTTGTTCTCTTATGATGTCATTCCTGATCTTATCTCTTTTGGTCACTCCTACAGCCCTTCTCAGACATCTCATTTCCGTGGTTACTAATTTTCTTTTATGGTTTGTTGTGAGTGACCATGTCTGGCACTGGTAGCACAGAGTTGGAATAAATATGCTTTGAATAAGATGTCTCTTTGTGCTGATTGGGATTGTCTTATGCTGTAAGAGGGGGGCTAGCTGTCCCAATACTTGGTTTGCTTTACTGCATCTAATGTCAATTTCTTTATCCAATTTCACATCTTCGGTAAATGTAGTTCCCAGATATTTAAACTCAGATGCCTGTTTAATGCCTTTGTATTCTATTGCTATGTTTAGATCTGTCTTCTTTTTTCCTATTGACATTACTTCTGTCTTTTAGTGTTGATTCTCATATTATTTGTTTTACATTCTTCATTCATGGATGTTAGATGTTGTTGCAATTTCATGGCTGTATCTGCTATCAAGGCCTGGTCATCTGCAAAGAGTAATTCGTTGATCTTACTAAGATCTTCATTCATGGGCTTGGCATTCTTGCATATACCGTCGATGTAGGTGATAAACAGCAGTGGTGATAAGACACACCCCTGTCCTACTCCAGATGTCACTGTGAAAGGATGAGATGTTCCCTGATTTATTCTAACTACACTTCTACAATCCCTGTATAAACTTTTGCACACTTCGATGAGGTGTTCGCTTACTCCATATTTTGCCATTACTTTCCATAATAATTGTCTGTCGACTCTGTCAAATGCCTTCTTCTGGTCTACGAATGCCACAAAAAAGTTCTTATTGTATTCAATGTTCTTTTCCATTAACTGTTTAAGTGTGAAGATTGCATCTGTGCAGCTTCTATTTCTCCTAAATCCCATCTGTTCTTCTGCCAGCTGTCATTGGTCTCGGTCTTGTTTCTATTATCTTGGCATACATTTTGCCAACATGGCTTAAAAGAGAGATGCCTCGATATTGAATGCATTCTCGTTTGCTTCCTTTGTTCTTCCACAGTGGTATAAATATTGCATGTTGCCAATCAATAGGGGCCGTTTGTTGTACCCATGCAGCATTGAATATTCTGTGAAGCCATCTGATGATGCTTTCACCTGCTGCTTGAATTATTTCTGTTGGTAATCTATCAGCTCCTGGTGCTTTATGAGTCACTAAGTATTATAATTGTGTGCCCTCTGTGTTCTTGAGTGATGAGATGTTGGACTGCAGAGAGGAGGGCAGTTGCCTCAGCTCTGAAGTTAGTGCAGATGTCACCTGCTGGTAGAGACAGAGTTTCTGCTCTACTGCTAGGGGGTTTAATGAATATTCCACAAGCCCTATTTCTGACTACATCTATAGCAGAGCCGTCGGTGAAAACCGGAGTCCAAGTGGTGTTTGGATACTTCTCATCAAGCATAGCAAGAGCCAGGGTTCTCTGTTGTGTCTCCGTCTGGGCATCTTTTGAAGTGATCCCTAGTACCTTTATGACTAGATTTACCTTTTCTGGCTTGCTTGTCCATGGTTCTAGCCTAAGTTTTTTGCACAGTGCAAAATCTCTTTCAAGCAGATCTTGGTGCTTTCTGTACAGTTCTCTAGCAAGGTAGTTGGGGTTCTGACGCTTCAGTCTGTTTTTTGTTCTCTCTTGAAATTGAAAATGCAGTGGGTGACTTTGAATATAATTTCTCATTCTGCAAAGGAGTTTTGTATTGTCTTCTGAGTTCGAGTGGTTCTGTATCTGCTATCCTCTCTATCTCTCTGATGGGGTGGTTTTCATGGCTCCGAGAACAATCCCTAATCCCATATTCTGAACATTGTCCAGTTTTTCCATTGTTGTCTTGGCTGCTGCAGCCCATACAGTGGAGGCATATACTATGACTGGCCTGACGGCCCCAGTATATACATGTACTAGTTTCAGGAATCTGGAGTTAGCGCCCCTGTGGTACCCGCTAATTTTTTCATCACTGCAAGCTTCTCGAATGCTTTCCCCTGTACTGCTTCTACACATACTTACAAACCTAAATATACCTTCATATATCCACACACACACACACTTATTATCACACACATGCCCAGATAATACATACACACACACATAGATACTTGTATACATACACATTCATAATACATACAAACATACTCACACACAGGCATACATTTATAAATAGACACACACACCACATACCTACACAGCGACATACACCTACATACATCCACATACATACATAAATACACACACACATACACCCACATAATTACACAGCTACATTTACATACCTAACGTTGGAAATATGATTATTTTTCTTTTGACCCAACAGACGGCCTATTTGGAAACCCTGTGGGATTAATATTCTCAAAAAAACTGGTAATATTTTTTGTATTAATATTATATAATTAATGTATATATATATATATAATTTAAGCAGGACTTTATGGTGAGTCCTGTTGTTGCGCAGCACTTATGTCCTTTGGTAAAGGATTCTGGGATTCTGAATCAGATGCTGCTAATGCTTTGGTTGGTGACCGGGTATCCATGGCCCCTACCAGCATAGGCGTCTTTGGCACTGCAAGGTACAAATATTTGCATCCTAGTAAAACTGGAAATATTAGGTTAGGGAGACAACCCGCGACATTAGTTCCTTTCACATATTTGCAGTCGATGTTTACCTTTGCAAGAGGTAATCAAGGTCCCAGACTCCTGTGCAGCAGTCTGCATCTCTATAAATTCCCCAGTGTACTGCGTTGGGTCAATGAGTTCTGTAGAAACCAAGGCATCGAATAATAGACCCGTGTCAAACAAGCAGGTCACTTCCGTCTGCTGTATGAGTATTCAAACGACAATACTTTCAGTAAAGCCGTCACCTCCACTCTGACGATTGCTGACTACGACCGTCACCCCTTCGATTATCTTGTGGATGGTACCTATAGTTGGTGTTTTTAGTGTTTGGTGTGCTTTGTTTACCATTACGAAATTCAGGTTCCCTATGTGTGTTACGTTCAGTTGGCGTTTCGGTAAATTTGGGATTTTGAGAGGTGCATCTTTGCCCTGGCGCCCACCTGTTCAGGGTGTGCCAAATCATATCTCTCAGCCAGCTTTAATATGTCAGTAATTGTAGTGAGTCATTTTCTCCCCATTAATTTATGCCCGACAGATGACGTCAGTAATGAATGTAAGGGGGATGTTTTGACTGACTGAGATAACACGAGATTTGTGTCTTGAGTTTCATGAGAGACATCTGAAAGTCAGGTTTTATGTGAAACATGATGGTTCACGTGAACAATGAAGGTTGACTGGCAGGTTTCGTGTGAAATGCGAATTATCACGGGCCAGACACGACTTTCAACGGTGGGGAATTCGTGAGAATGAAGTTATACAGAATATTCGAGAAGAACATGACAGATCAGAGGGCTATATAATAGCGGAGAAAGGTTTGAGAGGCAGTCTCGTTTAGGCCAAGGGAATGTGTACGTCAGAAGATGAAGTCCGGAAGAATGTTGGCGTCTGAATAGCGTGATTTCCCAATGCCTACCTGGCATAAAATAGCGGCTGACGGAAACGGTGGCCAGCTGTGAATGACTGTCGTCTGGATGGATGGAATTACTGTGTTTCGCTAAGTTGTGGGATGAATTCTACGATGTTACAAAGATATGACTGACTGTTTAGATCATTGAATAAGTAATCGATGAGTGATACTGTTGTGTACGAACATTTACTGACTGTAACATCAGCGAGTGAAAATAAACGGTACATGTAACTTCTGAACGTCTGCCAGCGTCCATGTTTTCTCGTTCTTGTCAGTCGGTGAATGGAAGGATGCGGTGACTCATTCGAGCCAGCAATTAATAATAAAGAAGATCATCGCAGTAATTCTTTCCGCACCATTCTCAGTCAGAAAGGTTTGGAGAGGTTTTGAAATGATCTCTTTTAGCTGTTCAGCCAACATCATTTCTTCTAGATCTTCATAAGTCTGGGTAAACGATGCTAAACTTTGCCATTTCAGCAAATAAGATTTTATTCTTGAAAAAAATTGAGAAATAGTTTCTCTCGACTCTCTTTTTGCATTACGAAATTTATTGCGATATGCAGAGGCCGTCAGCTCATATCTTTTCAAAAAAGAAATTTTTCAAGAACTCCAAGTTGGTCTCTTGACCAGGAGGCAATCTCGAATAAGATTCATAAGTAGGACCTCTTTAGGGCAGTGCAAGTTTCAGACACCACTTCTCTTTATCCAACAAATATGACCTAGCAACGTTTTCGAATTTTTCAAAAAACACATCCATACTATCCTCGCGTTCATTAAACTGAGGAAAAGGAAAAGACATCGGACCAAGAAGGAGAGGGTGGCCAAAAAAATGTGCCTCAGAGGTAGAAGGTTGTTCATTAACTGCTGTACTATAAGTAGAATGAGATTGTAAATCGAGCTCCCTGAGACGAAGTTCATTCATTCATTCATTCATTCATTCAGTAGCATGTCCCTCGAGGAACCTCGCTGCCATAACAACCCTCCGGAAAACCTTCCTATCATGAGCAAGATGTCCTGCGTCTGATACACCCATCTGGAGATCATCTGCCACATCCTGCACCCATCTTCTCCTTGGCCTTCCTCTTCCTCTCTTCCCAGGCATATACCCCTCCATTATTGTTCTCTCTAGACCTCCATGACGTTTCAAGTGACCAAAATATTTCAATTTTCTTTGTTTTATTGTCTTTACTAGCCAACCCTCTTCAATATTCAGCTCTTGAAGTATGGATGCATTTGTTCTTTTCTTTACCCAAGATATTCTTAGAACCTGTCTGTAACATTTATATTCAAATGCATTTATGCGCTGTTCCGCTTGTTTAGTAAGTGTCCAGGTCTCACAGGCGTATGTTGCAATGGGAAAGATGCATGCTCTTAAAAATCTGACCTTTGTAATTCTATCTGTACAATTCCATAATTATTCAGTTGTTTTAGTCTTTGAAGAGCAATTGATAGTCGCCGTTTAATTTCTTTCATTGTGTCACCATTGTTGGTAACCAGTGACCCAAGATATTCGAAAGTTTCCACCACTTCCAATCTTTCCTCATTAACATATATTTCCTTCTCCATGGCAGTTTTGTTTGTATGCATTATCTTTGTTTTTGCTGTGTTAAGAAATAAGTTATGATTTTCACTATTTCTTTGGAGTGAGGTTAATAAGTTTTCTAAACCATTTTGTGATGTTGATAGTAATACTGTATCATCAGCATAACGAATTTCTGGTATTTCATGACCACCGATGTTCAGGAGCTCTAATTTCTCGTTCTTTCTGCGCAGCCATTTCAGCTAGTCTGAGGCGTTCCTGTCTCTCCTCTTGCTCCTTCCTCTCTAAGTATTCACACAAATAACTCGAAACAGTATCACAAATCATAAAATTTCCAGCTTCAATCAACGGAAATCGCATTGACGGAGGTGAAGGAGTAATCCTTTTTTATAAGACCCAAGAAAAAGGGAGTGATTCATTGTTTTAGATTGAAAAGAACTATATAAAGAAAAAAACTTTTTTAATAGAAATTTTTGTTAAAATTGCCTCCATGAGCTACCCACACACACCCATTTGTAATCAAATTATCTCAGTTTCTATTGATCAGATTTTAAAATTGTAAACTGCACATAAAAATAGACCAGACTGGATTAAAAAAAATTTTTCTTGATCTTTTCAGACAAAAAGTGTGTGCAACCAAAGCCGGCATCCACCCGGCCGAGCTTTGAGCGGCGACGAGATGCGCCAGAAACTTTGAAATCGTCCACTAAAGGTAAGATTTTGTTGATCTGTGTTCTTAATATCCACTGTCGTAGGCTAGTTTTGCGGAATTTATCCTCGCCTGGAGATCCCCTATAATGCTTCCTAAATATTTTACAGGGCTCGAAATAAGAATGTCTAGGGGAATTTTATTGGTCCCTGAGTTCATAAAAAAAGAAGGGAAATACATATAATCATACTAATATGGTGAATCCCCAGAATAGAACTGAATAAATATTTATTCTTCAAACTAAACTTCTGAATAATCAAAGCTCAATACATTGCTAATTGAACTTTAAAAAATCACAACGTAAAATACTTTGTCTAAACAAGGAATTCACATCGATACTAATTGACGTAATCAGATATTTGAGTTTTCTAAATTAACAATTGTATTGACATAACACAGCCCAGAAATCCCATTAAATTATTCAACTCAAAAAAAAAAAAAAAATCATCATTCAACACCATAAACATTCCAATGCATCTAAACGTCACTCAGCTCTAGGATCGTTCGAGTGGAATAAAGCATTCCCCTGTGGTATGGACATTATACTGGCAACAATGGTAGTTATTGGCTGTCTTTAACAGGTAGTCTGTTCGATATGTTAAAGCAAAAATATGATATTTTTCAAATTTCTGACCAGACTGCATTAAAAAAAAATTTTGTTGATCTTTTCAGACACAAAATTTGGGCAACCAAAGCCGGCATCCACCAGGCCGAGCTTTGAGCGGCGACGAGATGCGCGAGAAACTTTGAAATCGTCCACTAAAGGTAAGATTTTGTTGATCTGTGTTCTTAATATCCACTGTCGTAGGCTAGTTTGGCGGAATTTATCCTCGCCTGGAGATCCCCTATAATGCTTCCTAAATATTTTACAGGGCTCGAAATAAAAATGTCTAGGGGAATTTTATTGGTCCCTGAATTCATAAAAAAAGGGAAATACAGATAATCATACTAATATGTGATCCCTAGAAAAGAACTGAATAAATATTTATTCTTCAAAAAAACTTCTGAATAATCAAAGCTCAATACATTGCTAATTTAACTCGAAAAAAAAAAATCACAACGTAAAATACTTCGTCTAAACAAGGAATTCACATCGATACTAATTGACATAATCAGATATTCGAGTTTTCTAAATCAACAATTGTATTGACATAACACAGCCCAGAAATCCCGTTAAATTATTCAACTCAAAAGAAAAACAAAATCATCATTCAACACCATAAACATTCCAATCCATCTAAACGTCACTCAGCCCTAGGATCGTTCGAGTGGAATAAAGCATTTCCCTATGGTATGGACAATATACTGGCAACAATGGTATTATTGGCTGTCTTTAACAGGTAGTCTGTTGAATATGTTTAAGCAAAAATATGATATTTTTTTCAAATTTCTGACCAGACTGCATTAAAAAAAATTTTGTTGATTTTTTTCAGACGAAAAGTATATGCAACTAAAGCCGGCATCCGCCAGGCCGAGCTTTGAGCGGCTGGGATATGCGCCAGAAACTTGTAAATCCTCCACTAAAGGTAAGATTTTTTTATCTGCTTTCCTAATATCCATTGCCGTAGGCTAGTTTGGCGGAATTTATCCTCGCCTGGAGATCCCCTATAATGCTTCATAAATATTTTACAGGGCTCGAAATAAAAATGTCTTGGGGAATTTTATTGGTCCCTGAGTTAATAAAAAAATAGAAGGGAAATACATATAAGCATACTAATATGGTGAGTCCCCAGAATAGAACTGAATAAATATTTATTCTTTTAACTAAACTTCTGAATAATTAAAGTTCAATACATTGCTAACTTAAGTAAAAAAAATCACAACGTAAAATACTTCGTCTAAACAAGGAATTTAAAACGTTACTAATTGACATAATCAGATATTTGAGTTTTCTAAATCAACAATTGTATTGACATAACGCAGCCCAGAAATCCCGTTAAATTATTCAACTCAAAAGAAAAACCAAATCATCATTCAACACCATAAACGTTCCAGTGCATCGAAACATCACTCAGCTCTGGGATCGTTCGAGTGGAATACAGCATTCCCCTGTGGTAGGGACAATATACTGGCAACAATGGTAGTTATTGGCTGTCTTCATCAGGTAGTCTGTTCAATTAATTTTGTATCTCCATTCTACAGTGTTGTTAACAATCCAGGGTGTTATAGGGAACTTGGAAAAATACATCAATTATCCTTGTGGTGAGGATTATGCCGACACATCTGTGGCAGGTAGTAGTGTTGCGGTGTTTGTGGTGTTATCAGAGTTGTAAGGGAAAAGAGCAAGGTATTACAAACACTGTCTCTCTCCACGAGCAATATATCAATAATAAATCTCTCTAACATGTTATAATATTGTTTTATACATACACAATTCTTTGCATGACCATATGAAACTTGACATGATTAAGTGGACACACGCTCGCATGCAGATATTGACAGTCGTGAGTTCAAGTCCCAACAGACCCAGGTCGACTTCGCCTTGAATAGCCACCAGGTATAGTCATGGGGAGTAAAGACGGCAGGTGTGATGTCGACCACATCAACGCACAGGTGCCACTTGGTCTATAAAACATAGGCCAACCCTATATACCCATACAGCTGACGACGCGACCAAGGGTTCCTCCCTTTTACTCACGTTTTATGTTTTCATAATATATTAAATATACACAATGTAGGTTATAAACACTTGATTGCACCGCATGGCATAGGATGATCGTTTATACCGTAAGCTCCTTTTGCAAGGAAACCAAATGAATATTTTCAGAAAAGATGACAAGGTGATAGATGGTTCACTAATGAATTGTTCTAACCGTGAATAGTAACCTAAGGAACGTCATAATATGTAGGGACTAGTAAGTAATTACCATTGTCCAACGGACAAGTATCAAGGTTGATGAAATCACGGAATATTTATACAAATAATCAAAGAATGGTAGGATCTCGATAAAATATTTCAGGATACAGCTAGGGCTTACAGGGGATCTCAGACACTTCCTACCATTATAAATCTCACCTGAATTCGTATTATTATTATTTCGTTTTAGCTAGGCCGATGGAAAGGCTGGGGCGGTCGTTTTGTGTGGGGTTCCGTTCTCTTGCCTGAGGGTTGCCGACTTTTCGTTTTTCACTGATACTGCGAAGGTTCGGTCTTGTAGGAAGCTCTTGATCTAGTTGAGAGTTTTCCCTACAATTCCAACTACGCTCAGTTTTCTGATTGCGGCTTCCCTCCAGCAGGTGTCGAAAGCACTGGTCAGGTCTAGGAAGATGGCCGTTGTTTTTTCTTGTTTCAGGAACTCCCTCTTGACGTGATCTTCTAGTTTGATCACCTGGTCAATTGAGGATCGGTTGGCTTTGAATCCGGATTGCGTGCTGCTGTATTTTTGTTTTTTTCCAGGTGGAAGTTAATTCTTTTGGTCCCTACAATCTCTAGTACCTTTCCCAGGTGGAAGTTCAGTGATATGGGTCGGTAGGAGTCCAGACTCTGCGTATCTCTGTGGGGTTTTGGCACTGGGATGAATGTAGCGTGTTTCCATTGTTGTGGGACTGTTCCCTCTCTCCAGACATCGTTATAGTGATCCGTGATGGAGTGGACGGTTTTGCTGGGGAGCATTTTCATCAGCTTGTAGCTCAAGATGTCTGCCCCAGCGGCTGTGTCCTTTTTCGCTCGGATTGCTGAGGTCACTTCTTCCACTGTGATGTCTGAATCGAGGTAGTAGTCGCTAACAGTCGTGCTCGTCTCCCCCTTTCTGCAGGGCCGAGTTTCTCTGTTGAGCTGATCTCATAGACATATTGACCGAACAAGTTGGCTTTTTCTTTGTCTGCGATCGATAGTCTCGGTGTTTGGATAGTGGGGATTCGAGACAGTTTTATGTTTCCCTGAATGGCCTTGATTTGGGCCCACACTTTACTGGCAGGGGTGCTCGGATCCAGGGTCTGACATAATTTTTTTCAGTGGGCCTCTTTGGACTTTTTGATAGTTCTGTTGGCCGCATTTCTCTGGATTCTGTATTCAGAAAGATTTGCATTGGTCTTGTTGCACCTGTATCTTTGCAGAGCCCTTTTCCGTTCTTTAATCGCCGTCTGGCATTTATCGTTCCACCAACCCACAGGCGGTTTCTTTTTAGGTGCCTGTAGATTTGTGAGTCGGTGCTCCTTGTTACAGAGGTGGCCAGGCATGTTTTTGTTGGGAATCTTTCTGATGGCTGCTACCAGGATAGTGTTCGTAAGTCTTTCGGTGTAGTCCTCTGTCACATATCGCTCCTGTCGCGTGCCTGATTTAAGGATTTCTCCTTAAGAACCAACAGCACTCTGAAATAATTATGTTGAGTCGTTGGCTCGTATTGGTCTAAGGGATGCCCCGTGGCCAATATTCGCTCAACTTATTTCAGGAGTAGGGCAACTCAAGCTTTGGCACTACAAAGTATATAATATTCCTAGGCACACATGGCTGGACACCCCCACTACTATAAAAAGGTAGCCCCCAGGTTATGATAGTATACTATCATAGCCATGTTAACACATATGACACTTATTACTCACACAAACATCAAAGCTAGACAGTTAGAATGGTGAAATAGGGACACCCAAGTCAGCCATGAAAATTTGTGCATGTAATCAGTACAATATATACATATAATAATGAATAGATCAACAATAGTTCAGGGAATGGAGCTCAGGAAACATTGACACAACCCAGATATTGAAGCAGCCAGATTTAGTCTTGAGGTGTACATGAGTTTATCATCGGACTTATAAGGTGCTGTGGGAAGAGAGCATGTAATGTGAATAAAAGATCACTCAGCCCAGTTCGTAGGTCAGTGCTCCCCTCAGTCCATGGTGATTCGACTGTAGTTGACTCAGTCAGTAGTTGGGCCTTGATTTGATCTGGTACAAGCTGGCTGTCACGAGCGAGGACACAGGAACTGCCTAGGAGCCCAACAAAGCTCTTAAAGACTGTAATGCCCGCTGCCGGTCTCACAGGTGATGACACAATAAATGCATAAGAGCCCAACAACGCTCTTGAAGACTGGTTCTCTGGATTGATGACATAGGTGTCTGCAATTGTCAACTGGTCCTGGAACTCACAAACAAGCTCTTGCCATGTTGAGGTAGTGGCACAGTATACAGGACTTCTGGTTATGCTTGGTGCACAGAATGGTATGGGTTGATGGTTGTTGGCTGGACTGTGATTCGTCTGCCTGATCTCTAAGGAGGTATCATCCCAAGCTTAGAAAATCTTCCAAGATAGAAATGGAACTTAAAATGCGCCAATTTCTACATAGACTGTATACATGTCTTGACACTTTGGGATCAGGCGAAAGAATGTTTTTTCAAAATCAAATTTACCGTCTCTAGGAAAGAAGTCCCATGTACTCCTGCCCAAGGGGTAAACCGGTTTACAGGAATTTCTAAATAAATTACCAGAAATCGTCAACCGACAGTTGCAAGTTTGAAAATGAAGATGTATCAAAGCAACTAGAGGGTCTAGAAATGAATATATCACCAAATAAAGGTATATGTCAATATAAGGGACTATATACCCTTCCCGACGGGTTTAAGGTTGAAATTTGACTGAGCGCGAGGGAAGTCAGAGCCACGACTCGTCCATAGTATAGGGTTCGCTGCTCACATCACGACATCCTCTAGGCTTTCGTCTAGGTCACTTTCTAGTTTGGAGAGAGCCTCTCGAAGACAATCCAGAGATCCTTAGCGGCCTCAAGCAGCCTCAGTAGCCGAAGGTACCATTTAAAATGATACCTCCCCTATGGTCTGAGGTTGAGGAAGTTGTCAAAAAGGCCAGCGGCAAGTCTGCCCCAGGTCCGAATGGTGTTCCGTACGTTCTTTACAAGCGTTGCCCAAAAATCCTAAAAATGCTTCACGTCTTGTTGGGACAAGCGTGGATCCGCAAACACATATGTCCAGAATGGCAAAAGGCGAATGGGGTGTACATTCCCAAAGAGGAGGACTCGAAGAGTCTTTCCCAATTCAGGCCCATCTCACTGTTTAATGTCGAGGGTAAGATATTCTTCTCGGTCATAGCTCGCCGGCTTACACAGTATCTGATGGCTAACAAGTACATAGATACGAGTGTTCAGAAGGGTGGTATTCCGGGCGTTCCTGGGTGCTTTGAACACGCGACCATGATTTGGGAGGCTATCCAGAGAGCCAAGCATGAGAGAACTCAATTGCACGTGATTTGGTTTGACTTAGCCAACGCCTACGGGGCAGTCCCCCATAGGCTACTGTGGCGAGCCCTTCGCATGTTCCACGTACCGGCACAGGTCAATGATATGATCGAGCAATATTTCTCTAGGTTTGCTTTGCGCTTCTCTACCTCGACGTTTACCACGAGATGGACTGAGTTGCAGATTGGGATAGCTATGGGCTGTACGATCTCACCAGTACTGTTTGTCATGGCCATGCAGATCATGTTAGACGGGCTACGGACAGGGCCTTCAAATAGGGGATCACTGGATGCCGCCACTACGCGCATTTATTGATGACACGACTATTATAACGGGCA